AAGATAAAGGAGCGAAGAGCGAGGGAAAAAGAGGAAAGAGTACAGCGTTAAATCCTCCACGATAGTTTCCTGTGCACGCGGTCGCACTTGACTGACGGTCCCCCGTTTCTTTTTGTACACTCTACCCGCCGGCCGTTTTCCGTTTACGCTACCTGCCGCTTATCCACCTTGCTTGCTGCTTGCCCGTCGCCCTACTCCTGTCCACGATGCTTCATTCTACCACCACTTTTCTCTCCCCCTTTTTTTTCCTTCCTTCTTTTTCGTCCTTTCTTTTTTTCCTCTTTCTCCTGCGTTTCCCTCCCACTTTCGACCGATTCTTCGTAACCTGTCACTCTTCTGCGTGCTCGCATACGGATCTCCCACCTCGCCCTTGTCGAATCTCCATATGATTCCTCCTCTGTCAGCACGTTGTGGAAACCGAACGGGGAAAAACGGAGTCTCTTTAACGACGGGAAAAAGGAACAAAACTGATCGCGGCAAAGACGAGGACGACGACGAGGATGAGGGGGACGACTTAGACTTAGATGACGACGACGACGCGACGAAAACGATAGAAACGAGGACCGCCGTGCCGACGACGAAAACCACTGCCGCCGACTTGCCATCTCGCGGACGTTATTCTAAACAGTCACAGATGGTTCTCAAACTGGGGATCTCGAATATTCTTTTCACACCGATCTTTCTTAATCTGGCTGAGAATAAGCTGATTGACGTCTACTTAAATCGTTATTCACTAGACTTTGTGTTTACGCATACCATAAGAAAATTATTGAAATCTTAAACAAACAAGAACGTTGTAAGGTATGCATGTATAATTCAAACTATTATGTGTCTAATTTATTTAGGAACAAGTTACGATGCCTAACAGCATTTCAAATGCAAAACTTGACGAACCGCCAATAGGAAGATACGACGAATCAGAATGATTTGCATTACGCGGGAAACGACGTTGGTCTTTAGTTAGTTTGTCATATTTTGGTTAGTTATTGCGCCGTATATTGGATATACATAATGTATAATGTACGTCGATGCTCATGCAACGAAGCGTGATTCCTTATGATTAAAACTATACTTCTTAAACATACATAAAAAATTCAATATCGTTTCAGTAATTTCGCAACAATCTTCTATTCAGAAAATTCGTAACCGTGTCAAAGTTCAAGCATTTCTGAGTATTTACATATATACGTTAATGGCTTCCCCGGATTCGTAGAAATACTTAATTACCGGTTTTATATTGCACAAACACCTATATTTCATTGTTCAGTTTTAATTATAAGAAAAAAGGATTTCTTAACCTCGTTGCAATTGTTCGTATTTCTCAGTTCCGGTTACCCTTGATGTATGAATAATCAAGATTACAAAGCCAAGCATCGAATCTGTAGAAGAATTAGTCGTTACTACGTATCGCAAATTTCATCCAAGTGTTAATATTTGGCAGTTCATCGAGAGTCTGGAGAGTTTACTTCGTACAAGTAAGTACATATTTTTTCGATACATAATGTTACTGAAAACGCAGACTAATCACCGACAGTTCTGCCATTGGTCGCGTGCTTGGACGTGTTAGATCATAGTCATCTTTATTCTTCTGTTTGAACAGAATGAAGAAATTCAAGAAAAACATGCATGTTATACTTTGATCCGTTCAAAAGAATCACGTTCTACGTCATTTCTTTTTCATATTGACGAATACACTTGCGCGACATAATTTCCTTTTTTAATTCTTTCAGACCTTTGGCTACTTGACCGACGTATGGGACAAAACGAACCGTCTTTCCTCGTGTGTCTTGAAAAAGGGTTGAAATGAAAACCACGATATCGCGAGGTAGATCTGACATGATTTTTTGAAACGACAAATGCGATGGATACATTTGCGGTAAATTATTTAACGTCCCGTGTCAAATTAATATTAACTATCTCGTGCGCTTGTGCGTGCTTGCTGGTAACTTAATAAGGGCGAGATTAACAAGTCAAACCGAGTACATTGTATGCAGAGGAAAAATTGATGAAAAGGTTGTTCAGCTTTGTGATTAGATTTACATGCATAACGCGTTCTCACCCGGAGCACTTTGTAAATCAATATTTATTGCATCGTATTATGATCGGACAGTTCTTCGATATGAAGTACGCCGTTGCAAGGCCGGGAAAGTGGCCAATTGATGGTTACAGGTATACATATTTGTACAGATTAACCTACTTCGAATGGATCTACAATGGCGATGGCCCTTTGTTGTAAAACGTTGCATCACACTTGCCTTTTTTAAACTTCATTGATTTCTAACATTCCTCTTTATCGCCAAACGAAACTCAACACCTGTAGATCCTTTTTTCTTTTATTTTTTAAACAGTTTTCAGTTTCCTCTTTCTCCCTCGTTTCCATCGTATCGCTTCAGGAAATATGATACAAATTACCAGCGGGCACGTTTCGCCAAACCCTTTCCAACCCTCGACACGTTCTTATCTTTCCGCATGACTTACCATGTTTGCAGTCGTTCCTGAACTTAAGACTTTGGCCATGCCTGCAAAGTGTCACGAGCTCGTATTACCTCATTCTTTCCCGACCACTTTGCACCAGGAGAGCAGTCCTCTTGTGCGTGTAGAAGAATTTCGTAGGAGCTGCTCGAGGACAATGCGAAAACGTAGACGAAGCTGCGTAGCGAAATATCGCAGCGAGGTCTGTGTGCTCGCGAATCGAGGCGAGAAAGAGTAAGCAAGTGGACCAGAATGAGAGTGATCTCGACTAACAGGGGAAAAGACTACAGAAAGTGTAATGCCGTGTAACAGCTTTGCGGGAGGTTATGCAAGTCACGGGGGTATCCAGGCGAAAGTGATTCTTACCTGGTTTGCACGGTCACGAGATGCTTGCAAATCATTTCATCTCTCGAAACACAACGCTTTCCGGCACTTGCTGTTCCCAATTTTTACACGCATTCCACTCTCTTCCTGTCTACCCCCTGTTCTCTCTATACTCCGCGTATATTCTAACGTTTCACGCGTTCAAACCTAACCTATGAACTTTTATTCAATTCAAATGTAAAGTAAGGTTGAAATTTAGATTCGAACAGATGGTCAAGATTATTCAGCGGAGAGTTTGAATTATTTTTTCGAAATATCTGTACACCGATCTTCGACCCGATGGTACAGAGAGTAGACGAACTGCGAATGAATTGTATACCCGTTCCGGATAAGTAAACGTCACGTGGTTCTGTTCGCAAGCGACGCGTGGAAGAAATTACAGCGGACGATTGTTTAAAAGGCGAATCTCGGAGCGTAAATGGTCGATTATCGACGCGACACTAGAGCGAAGCTCACTGTATCCCGCGCGGTCCTATCATCCTCAAAGGTTGTTCCTTCTGATTGTGAACAGTGCGAAGGTATTATGCGACAGGAACGAAACGTTACTGTCCCGAAAATTATCGGAGAGAAAGGGTGATCACTAACGTATACTTTCACAGCGAAGATTCAAGGTTTTCCTCGAATCGCTTTCGTCTAACAGCTTCCGATATCTGTCGCGGCAACCTTTAGGCGAAACGTTTTCAATTGTAACGACGATTCCGATCGGTGAGTTTTACGAGGACGATGCCTCTAACGTCTACGCGACGCTTTGTTCTCCCTTTGGCTGTAAGATGCATACGTGAGCGTCGCGCACACAGAAAGAAAGCAAACGTTTCTAGCTGATTTTCTAGGAAGTAGTTTAAATCCTCTTTGATAAACATGCATCCGCGAAAACACAGGATGACGCCGTCGCGGTAAGATTAAATCCTTTTGCACCTCGAAAGAGGTAAACGTCGGAGGAATTTTTTTCTCTCGCGATGATCTTCTTGGAACAAGGCTCGCGATGGAAAATAAAGCGAGACGTTCATTAGTCCCATCTCGATGACGTACGCTGTTTGCGTGTCAGCGTAGTAGTATCGACGTGGATATCGTTCCTTGAAAGATGAAATATCTTTGAAATTTGTACAGCATTTCATAATTCAAATACCGGTGTCAAAGGCCTTTAAGGGTCACTATCCTTTCACTCGGTAAAAAATAACTTTGACGTGAATATTTATAGGCACTATATCAACTTTCATGGATGAAAAAAAATCGTGGATGACCTTGAGTAACTTCTACCGGTCGAATAGGAACGGATTTTTCATAGTATTTACTTACGTATTCTCTTCCTCGTCTCTACGTTTTTGCGTACAATTTACGTAGTATTCTGTGGACATTCGTTTTTTATTTTCTTTTCAACGAGTCGTACGTTGACATGAGATGCACCGTAATTTCATACCGACACTCCTAATTTTCTCCCGATCGGTCTACATCGTCCAGTAGGTATGTGTGACCTAGATGGGATTTATTACGAAGGTATTCTCTTTCGTAATGCGATAACGCACGGTGTTTCAAAACAGCCGTCTGACCGTACAAAGCTATATTTCATCTTAGAAGTGTATAGATTATTGAGAACCAGTACGACAATCAAAGGTTATGATCTTCGAAACTTCGATCTTTCGAATATTCGAAACAAACACTGAATTATTTAAATTCAGCCAATTTTGAACTATTCAAATTTAAAAATTCCAATTATAAAATTTCAATTGAGCGAATCAAATTCGATTTATTCAAATTTTGTAATTAATAACTTTCTGCCCCAACAAATTTTAAACTGATTAACGAAAAAATTGACTTTTATTAGTTTTCTAGAAAATCGACGATACACAGAACGACGTACAATGAAGTATTTAATGCGGCTGATCTAGAAGACATATTGTTCTCTACTGGTACCATACATATTAGCGGTAAAATACTTTTTCTTTTTGCTCGCGACCGTCTGCGTGACTGAATGCTAATTTGGTACGTTTGTTGAAGTACAAAGTTCATTGGAAATGGTGCCATTTTCCATGCATCTACTTGTCCACACTGACATATGTATATATTTTCCACCTGTTGTCTCCTTCTTTTTTTTCTTTTTCTTTTTGCATGTCGTCAGTCCTCACCGAACATCAATTGCACATTTCGATGGCGATGGCTTGGTAAATACAACATTACATGTGGTTAACCTTTGCCTCCCACGAGACCCTGGCCAATATCGTCCTAATGTTTGCCTATTTGAAATACGCCGTGAGTCAAGACATTCTGTTTCGTTTCTACGCGTGTATGTTTCAATGTTTTTTCAATTATTCTACGTACACGTTGCTTTCCCGAATGAACAATCGAACATTGATATCGGAAAACAATATTCGCTGCGTATGCTAATGCAGCGTGTTAAAAACAAAAAAAATTCAGTGTTATTACTTGTTATGGAAATTCTTATTTATGCTCGATTACGTGTTTTAGTTATCAGACAGATAAAAATCATTTCTTACTCGAGTAATAATTATTCCAGCGTAGTGTAACATAAAAATCCACTCTGATTTGTGTACATTTTTCGAGTCATTAAATCTGTCAATGTACACGTTGAAACGCGTAAAAGACGTAGCAGCGATGTCACATATTAATTTTTTGTTATGAAATACTTCTTATGCTCCTCTTGTGCTCGCGCTTTTTTTTCCAGCTTTTCACTTTATACATTATCCCACCAGATTTATTAAGGATGATGTTGTTCCTGTAAATACGGGTGTGAGTACAAGTTTTTATATTTTGCCTACCTGAATTGGAATCCAACAAATTACACACCGACCGCGATTCCTTTTTGTCGCTTGTTTTCCGTGGAATTGTACCAGATGTATATCTATGTCGCTCGCTTCCGTCAATAGACCGCGATCGTTTTCAAAGCTTGCTTCTGATACGATCGTTTCATCAAACAAAGTTTATAACCTACAATTAACTCGATCTTTTATACTCGATAGCTTGAAACGATCGAACAGATAACCAAACGGCACGCCAACGATTTTTAATCTTGATTCTAATTCCAGCAGCGGCATAAATAAACATTTGTTCAAAAGTCAGTCGAGCGAATTTGAAATTATAATTATACGTGTAATTCGTGGTTTTTTAAACGTGTATCACATAATCATAACCGTACGTTAATTTTCAAGTTGCGAAATTTGGTGGTCAAACGTAAATACGCTTCGATGACGTCTAATTCCCTCTAATCTTCGATTACGAATTCTCCTTTCGCACTAGCCGAACGCAATCTATCGTAATCGACGGGCAAAAGTATGATGTATCTGTCGTAACACATTAACATGTATAGCACATGCATTAGCGAGGCATATGCAGTTTATTCGGAGCCTCTTTTATGTCGCATGGCTTACGCGACTTTCACCGGTCGCCACTTTCACCCATGAAAATTAGTACCGCCTGGTTTGCTCGTTCCCGAGGCTAAGCGGTTAGATCGCCGCTGTCGTCGACGAAAGGGACTTATTTTGCGCATCACGCTCGTTTTACTACGTACGAAATGCTTGGACGATCGTCGAATTAATTAACCGTTAGTGTTACCGTTCTGCCTTATAGCTGTGTTAGCTGCTGTGATTTATAACGTGCACGGTCTCTGTAGTGTAACTCATATAGAAACAGTGAATTTTCTCGTTAGCTCTGTAAACTCGTTGTTTCTTTCCGTAAAAAAATATAGAGGTCACTATTTGTTTATTTGAAATAGATCCAAGAGTTTCTTCTTTACACTCGTGATAAAGAAAGAAATTTGATTTATCGACAATGTGAATTCTCGAGTACCTTAGTTCGATAAGTAAGGAATCTGAACGACCGATTGTAGTTGGTAAGAGAGAAAGTACGCGTCGGGCAAAATCGCATTTTACGATAGATCTAAAATCGACGACTGTTTTTACGAAGTGTAGAAATCTTTGGTGCAAAGTGACTTTGACTGTGTCGAAGATTAAGTTAGGATGTGACGTATTCCTAGCGCGGGAATTTTATAATTGAAGTTTCGAACGACGAACGATTGGGTTCATTACAAATGGTACAATTTATTCGTCGTAAAATAAATACATTTTTTTATTTGCAGCGAGTTGTCCGTATTGTACAAAGTTACTTAATCTACGCGCCGAAAGTACTTATATTTCTCGCCAAATTGGCTCGATCCTTCTCCAGTCGGGGCAGCGACGAATAGTAAACACGGTTGCAAACGAGCTCCAACGCACCGACCGCTAACTATCACAGAAAACTACCGAGAGGAAAAAGTGTCGCGAGAATAAAAATTAACGAAGCACGTTAATCATCGGGTTCGATCGGTTTAACAACGCGCCTCGTTGCGTAACTGGAACATTATCTCGAAGAAAGAATCGCGACATCGATACGATAGAATTTCAACTGTTCCTTTGACAATAACGATTTCGAATCACGATGCTCTTCGTAATGCCCTAACAGCGTGTTTCTCTTTATTGAAATATTCATCGGAACGATCGAAGGATCGACCTATTCTTCTATACCGTCTGCCCGCGTCTGCTTAATTCTACGATTAATTTACACTTGCGATCTCGCGACCGGATCACACGGTTCGCGGCAACGGAATCGACTCGGCGACGCTTACGAGCCGATCAAGTTGATTCGTTTGGTGGTTTGAGCAATGGGAATGTTACACTTACGGAACTCGTGACCTCAAGTTACGAACAAACTGGATTTCTGGTCGCGTCACGTCTTCGATTCACGACCCAGTCCCCTCTGTCACTTCTAATTTACAAATAACACGTTACACAGATAATAAGAGCTTAAGAAGAAAGAATTTGGCAACTCTTGTGACCCGAACTCGACGACCAGTTGGGCGCGCAACGGTGCGCACAGCCGTCACGTCTTCTCCTCCATTCATTTTTCACCTTAATTCCTACATTCACCGGTACATACATACCCACTTGCACACTTACATTCATACATACAAACGAACACGCACAGCAAGCGTAAAAGTGTTGTTGAGTTTTATACAAACGTATCCTGCGCGCAGGATGAACATTGTACCAGCCCGATTCGGCCGAAATCATCGGAAAGATCCTCGATATCGTAAAAGCTCGCGAAGAATCTTCATCTGACTCGTCTTCCGAAAATTCATCCAGATCGCGGCGATTGCCGACAGGTCGCACGTTTCGAACGGCGATTTACTTTTGAAAACCTGTGTTATCGATGAACACACGGTTTCTCAAGCCGTTGTCCGAGATATAGCCGGTCGCCATCTTGTATTGATCCGCGTAGATCGCGCCATTTTCCTTCGCGTCTTTCCGTTCCGATTCAGCCTGCTGTTGTTTCTCGTTGTTTCGTCGCCGTGCCTCCTCTCTCTTCTTCAACGACGACGATTTCCTCTTCTCGTAGGCCGCGTAGTAGAAGTCGCGGAACAGGAAGTAGAACATCGTCGCGTGCATTCCTATCCACCAGACGAACGCCTTCGGGTAGTTGCACTCGATGAAGAGCAGCTGGAACGCGTGGATCATCACCAGGATGAACTGGACCATTTGCAGAGAAGTCAGGTACTTCTTCCACCAGAGGTACGGCTGCACCTTTGGTCCCAGAGCGGACAACAGGTAGTACGAGTACATGACGATGTGCACGAAAGTGTTCAATAGGCCGAAGAATGTGCTGTGTCCGCCTGTGAATGAAAACCGATCGATATTATTAATATTCTTTCTCTCTCTCTCTCTCTTTATTTCCTCTTTCTGCCGTAGACCTTTGGTCTCGCCTAACGGATCTCTGAAATTCCAGATTTTATTCTTTCAAACGAGTAATTTAGAGTCTCGTTGTATTACGTATTCGACTCAGGCACCACTATTTACATTTTCGAGGATAATCATCGTTCCAGCCGGAATATGTCACGATAGATTAGCATAAATTAGCAAAGCTGTACGAACGACAGTAGCGAGAATCGTCGTCAGGCGAAACTCGATTCCGGGAACGATTAACTTGCACTGTTTAACCACGGATAATCGATAAACGCTTACCAGGAGTGAATTTCACGCCGAACCAGACGGACATCGGCATGCATCCATGATGGATCACGTGTAGCGTAGAGATGTGGTCGCTTTTCTTTCTCAGCACGAAGAAGATCGTGTCCATAAATTCGGTGAATTTCGAGAAGTAATACCACCAGCAGCCGTGTGCCATTCGAACTGCCAGAGGATGGTTCGAGTAATCTACCGGTTGGCAACGCAACGAATAGTAACCTCCCCATCCGGACAGCAACGACTGTGTCGGACAAAGTGCAAAAAGATGTATGCATCTCATCTCTAATAATATCTCGAGCTATCCTCGAGCTTACCTCAGTGAACAACCACGCGGAGAAGATGACTTGGAAAAGATTGTAGAATATCATCACTCTCCTCAGATCGAAGGGTTTGCGGTTTTCCATCAGTTTCGGCCCTAACACTTTCACGAAGTATACGTAGGATAGACAGATGGCCAAGGTTGGGAAGGGACTGCTCATCATGGCCCAGTTGTTCACCCTGGGATCGCTTTTGTTGTCCATCAGGTCCCGGTAGCCATCGTACAGTGTTCTCACAAGCTGCGCCATCTGAAAATGATCGATAAATACAATTAGCGGTGCAACCGAGAAGGAAACTTTTTCGGAACGCGAACACCGTTCGAAAATTTCCCCAGAAAAACGCCGAGTTCCGGGCTGACCATTTCGACGTGACACACGCGTGCACGTGATAACGCCTGTTCTGACAAAATCGTTGGAATAATACCGCGAAATCACGCGTCGTTCGGAGTCACACAGATGCGCGATTTTAATCTCCGTGGAATAATAGATGGATAATGAATATGAATATCGAGGGAATAATAACAATGATTAATAGGACATTTTAATTTATCTGCGAATTACTGTTCGACGCTTAAAACGTGCACATCCACCGATGAGCAATTTTTCCGACAGTTCGATTTTGTTGGTGGAATATCCATGTGTCACGCGGATTTGAACGTTGCACCTTAGAATCGGAATTCTCGAATCTATTCACTTTTGAGAAAAGGCAGTTCCAGCAGTTCTGTGAACACCGCGAAACGGCAATGCTAATGATTAACGTCGTCGTTACGAGGTTCGGAAGAAAATCGACACCGAGGAGAGACAGACGTACGAGCGTAATGTTAAAGACAAACAAACGACAATGCTCGGCTTTAGCTGCAGCTGTTGGAATGAATGGTCGGTGAAAAAATAGATTTTCCAACCTTGCAATAGCGATAATTATTAAAACAAGTGACTCGACTGAACAATTATAATTGGCATTGAAGTGAATGCATTCTCTACGTCCCGCAACCACACATTATTTCATTCAACAAATGCAAATATTTTTGTGCATTTAACGGTAACAATACCATTCGATAAAAACGTCTTCTCCGTTATTCTCGATAAGCAGAATTGATGCAATTCTGATCCCATTGGCGAAGCGCAAGCTTCTCGCGTTATCGCGAGATTATGTCAGCGAAAGTATGTCGCTTAATTTCACTTCTTCTATCCACGCGCCATTGGGTTTCTCGTGATGCCATCAAACCACCGTAGTCTCTTTCTCCGGCAGCAGTTACGTTCGTTTTCTTTCGAGGAATCTCGATCGTTTACATCGCGCCTAGTTTTCCCTTTCGACTTCAACGAGAACGACTCCTCCTCCATTCCTTCGACATCCCTCGGCCTCTACGCATTCCCGAATTGTCGCGCTGCGAGAATAACACGAATCTCGGTACAATCGAAATCGAACGTCGTCCGGTTAAATTAGGTGGTAGTGCAAAGTCTGAGGCGCAAAACCGGACAATCAACTTTTCAAACCGCGATAACCTACGGCTTTTCGATGCGGAGGAACACGATCGTGGGTGCTCATTTCTGCCGTAGACACCGTCGCGTTTCGAGTTCACTGCCTCCTTCCATTCTCCACTGCTTCATTTCCCGCGCCACGGATGAAAAGTCTCGCGGCGGCCGACTTTCGGTCCCTTGCGAAATTTAGGAAATTACCAGACCAGGTTCCTCGAAAAGTCGTCTATCGAAAAACGATACGCGAGCGACACGCCTGTTCGAGGGTCGATTTCGCAAGCCGATACGCTCGACTACCGCTCGAAGGAGAAGTAGCGACCTCGTCAAACGCCGACTCGGAGAACCCGTTTCCGTTCACGAAAAAAGAATTCCAAACCCTACTCTATGGGCGTTCGATCTTGTAATCCTGTTTGCTCCTCTTTCGCATCCTCTTTCAATCCTCTTAAACTCTTGCCTCGCGGCCATTTGTCCACTCCGGAAAGCTTAATAATCGCTCCATTCAGAGGGAACTGTTGTTGCAGCATCGCGTTCAATTTTCCAGTCGCTTCGATGTTTCCTCGTATGACTTGCGTTACGGATTAGAGTTTAATTAGATTGAGTCAGAGACTTTTGAATATGCACGTTTAATTGGACCCACACGGCTCTTGCTAAATGTTGCAGTACTAATTCTCCGTTTCTCAACAGCTCAGCGAGGACCGTGTTTCGTGGTTTGGATTATTAAGAGAACGAAATAGTCCGCGTTTCGACAGGACTGCAGGCATCGTCGTCTTTCTTCCGTGAATTTTTTAAGCTCGATCTTTATTTTCTGCAAAGTAGCCGATAAATGTGCGATCATTATCCGACAATTACAACCAATACATATCGGGAGACCTATCCCCATCACTTGTCATACCTATGAACCAAATTAGCATTTGCAAATCTAAACACTCTCGAACATAGAAGGAAATCGCAAGATATCTTATTCCTTCCCTTCTGGCAAAATTTTGTTTAAATGTTCCATCTATGAGATTTCCTCCGTGTTCAATACCACCATACTGGTACCAACCGAATGATTATTAATGCTAATAATGCCATCTCATGTATCGATCTATTCAATTCAACACCTCACTTAAGCGATCACTGCTTAGCTTGCCACTTAAATGACTTCAACTACTTTAATCACCTTAATTTTTAGTTATATTCATTTTATATAAATTCCTACCTCGCTATGTCACTATTACCGTGTATTATACCAATGAGCCATTTACCGTATAAGTAAATAAATACCGTTGTCGCTTCTCTTGCGACGATTGCGCACCGATTAATGCACATTTCGATTTAATAGCGCACTCCTAAGACCTAAAGGGACACTTGTTTTTATTACGTTCTACGATAAATCGTGGTAAAAGATACACGACGAGAGAATCGTAAATGGTTCGACCGAGTGATTGTAGATGCGAGGCGTGATCGGTGTTAATCACGTGCGAAAAATGTGTCAAGAAGCGAGTAGTGAAACGGTATAACGACAGAGATGGTATCGACGGGATCGCTCGTTGTCACCTGAATCCGTGTATTTCCTTGTCGAGCAGAGGATTTTCTGCCTGCCTTCTTCTTTGCCTCTCCACTTTTCCTCTCTTTAGCGACCGTTGCTTGAGCGCGATAGTCCCGAAAACTTCAGCCCCCTTTTTCTCGATCGAATAGGAAAAGAAACTGTGTTACTTGGAAAACTTTTTTACCATTTGAAATGAACCACGCGAACGAGCGTTCTCCACTCAAGTATGTTAAACGTATACGCAGCATGAAAAGAAGAAATAATAGCGCGTTGCACGAGGGTTACATACAGAAGCCTTCGAATTGAATTGTCGTAACGAGCAAGGAACAACAGGCGATTAACCAGAGCCTCGTCGAAGAATTTAATCGCAACAGGCCGGTAATTTCAACGCACGTACGATTAATGTCCACATATTTATCACGGGGAAAACATTGAGCTGGCTTGACAGGAACAAGAGGAAATCCTGCTCCATAAATAACGAGACGAACGCTCGATAATGCATAGGAGATTTGTCGCATCTTCCCGCGAAGGTTTTCCATGGATCTCCTCTCTCTCGATCCTTTGTTCTCGTTTTTATTATCCTCTTTCTGAGAAGCGCGTAACGCGCACGCATTCAAATCACCTGCAACGCGTCCAGTTCACCTTCCCTCGCCAACTGCACGCAACTTTGCAAATAGATTTGCAATACAAACGTCCGATCTTCTATGGATGTGCAAATTTTTGCGAGTCGTGTCGCAAATTGCAATTTCAATTCGCTTCTCTTCTGGAGGATAGCCGTTTTCTAATGTATTATCAACCAGATTGGTGGAATTGTAACGCACGGTATTTCGTATTTCTGTAGCGTGCAATTCGGAATATTTCAGTTTATCTGTGCAACAGTCTTTTTAAACATGTCCATTCGAACGTAACTCGTTTGGTCGGCGATGCGTTTAAGCGCCATTTGCTGCCCGGTCAGGTTCATCCTCGGATCTTAATCTTTGAACGAAAGTAAACCGCGCCTTTATTACGAGACACGGTAATCGTATTGCGTGTACGCTTAATTACCGGTGCATCGTGTGCCAAATCCGACGACACGTGCAACCGATCGATCGATCGTTAATCAGTCGTGGACGCGTATCTCTGCACTCTCTGTTTTTCTGTGCTGTTGCGTCACGAGAAGACGGAAATTTTGGGGATCTTGGAGATTATGAACAAAGTGTTAAACGGAGGAAATAACGAAGTGTCGCGTCAACGTTACATCGTAGATACAAATTTTCTTTCCGAGCAAAATTCTATCAGACCAGTCTCGCGAAACGATCTCGATTCTCTAGGCGCGACAACTTGGTCGAATTGGAATTTTTCACGGGGACTCGGAGGAATCACTTTTTTCAGGAATTCCGTATGCATAATCTCGACTGTTTAACTGTCGTAGAATTCCTTCACGATTGCAGAGTTTGCTCGGGGATTACGCTGGTCATGCCTCGGATCGTCCATTAAGAAGCTCCGCGAACGGGAACATCAATCAAGCGTGCACACACGATCGGCGATCGCACAGAAATTGCGCAAGTGTTTGGTCATGTTGCATAACTGTCTCGGAAGAAAAATGGAAGATCTTGTTTTCGAGTGATCCGAAAATCGGTCACGGCGATCGAGAAGCGCGAAAGTGTATCGCGGGGAGACTTTACCGTCGAACTAGGCGACCGGCGTAATAATTAGAGTAATTCTAGATCACGTCAGAAGTTCTATCTCGATTAGAAAGATAATTTTATCGTTTGGGAATAATTAGAGTTTCGCGAAACGCGCACGATTCACATAATCTTGCTATCACTATCCGTTTCCCCGTCACATTTCCTTGTAGATCTGTGATTTTCTGGCAATCGTGAAAATCATTCGCATTTTGTCTTCGACAGCACGCTATTCGACGAACAGAATCGAGTAAACCGATTGCAGGGAACCACGAGCGCCGTCTAAATTCGTCACTTTACGAAAAAGCGGCAGTTTCGTATGTAAATCTTGATACGTCTGGACCGAATCTCGTACGAAAATGTTACTCTAAACGAAACGAGGTATATTTACCTTACATTTTACGAAAACCGGTTTAAATAGCGATTTCGCAGACTTTTGCGTATTCCGTCCACAATTACAACATAGAGATCGTTGCGATATTATTGAATTACGAGAGACTAGCAAAAGAACACTGCTGCAAGTACACTGTCGATTACTTCGATTCGTCGAGCTGAAACTGAAACTGTCGAAAATCCAGAATTGATCGAGATCTTCTACTCACCGTATCCGACCTAGTCCAAATAATACGGCGGCCTGATATCGAAGTGCACTGGTCGACGTTTCTTTTGCCTCTTCTTCGCGGATTTAAGCCTCGGTGGAAATCCCGGTGAATGCAAAAGCCGTGACAAGTAGGCACACGATGAGATAGCCGGGGAGGAACACCTTCGTGCCCGGACACCTTCGATGAAACTGAGGTCCTACTATGAAAACCGTGTTTTATATCAGCATAAGCTCGTGACACCTATGGCGTGCATGTTGTCTGCCGCTCGTGGGGTAGAACACCGACCCCACCAATCCAGCAAACAGCAAACTCCTCGCGCTCCTCTGCTCTCCTGCCGACCGTTCTCGACTGTCCAAGGGTCGTGTGTCCGCGGGGTGTGTCGGTGTGATCGACGTATCGCGGGACCACGAAAAATCTTAACAGTGGTCCACTCATCTTCGGCCATTTAACAGCTACAGCCTCTTGTTTTCATTCCTAGTGATCCATTCAGCCTCGCTGTCTCTCGCGGATTTTCGTAATTAGTGTATCCGAAAGCGTACGAACCGATCTATTTTCATTCGAGAAGGTTCACGTGACATTTGACACTCGCGAATTTGACTTGCATCGAATTCCCATTTTTCAGAGTAACAGTGGCTTTTGACACTCGCTTATTCCATATCCGTTGAATTTGTATCATCCGAATAGATATTTCCAGTAAAATCCTCTAATCTAACTTGCATTCGTCTTTACGGAAATGACATTCGTAGTGACTTTTGACGATCGTGTGAAATTCAGAAACAGAAAGCACCGTTTTTTTCTTACCGAAGTGGAGATTCAGAAAACACTGGAAATATGCGGGTTTGTTGTTTTGATTTTTCACCTTTCGTACGTTGTTTCGGTAACCAGGTGAGAGACGGAGAACCACAGTGCAGTGTGATCGTGTACAGCGAGGAGAGTTGTTTGTCATTCGAAGCGGGACTGTAATTACTTCTTTTCCTTCACCTTCGTTTAGATAATGTTTGAACAAGAGCGATTGTGCAATTGCACAAGATGTAAGTGTCGTTCGTGAGAAGTTTCGAATTTCGGAATCGGCGGTTTATGACGTACATAGTTCTTAATGCGCATTGTGCTCGCGACTAAAGGTAGATTCTTCTTTTTCTTGCCGTGTCAACAGTGAATTATTCATACTATTGTCAGGTCTTATCGAGTAGACGTAACGTCTATTACTTTATGCTAATCGACGGGTTGTGTAGATAATGTGTATGAACTGCAGATTAAGAACCGCCTAATTGCAGAGTTCCCTTGGCCTCGCGGCTTCTCGTCTTTCTGCTCGCTGGAAACGCTGACAAATGTCGGCATCGTCGAGAACAGCCATACTTTCCCAGATAATAAGTATGGTGCAAGATAACGAGACGAATTGACGATAAAATTCGTGGGATCGTCCTTGATTGCACTTCGCTGTCGCTGAAACCTACGAAAATGTGCACGCTTCTTCGAAAAAATCGTTCTGGTGGTCGTTGAATTTTCGCTTCTGAAACTCGACGATCGAGAATTATCGTAGCCTAGAGCGGTATAATGACGAAACGTCAACAAAAATGGCTTGCGACATCGAACGGTACATTAGTTATCGGAATTTCTGAGATATCCAAAGATTCGAGGAGTCTTCAAAATTTTCAGGACTTTGTAAACTCGGTTCTACAGATCAATCGAAGCGTGGAATTCTCGTTCCGAGTGTACGTGAAAATATTTCGCGTAGGCAAGCATTAATTAGGCGCCGCTAACAATAAACAGTTCAGATATTTTCGTATGACAGCTCGAATTCTTCCGTTTCATTTCGCCGCACCGGTGCTACTTGTCGTCAAGGAAGTTGAGCATTTAATCTTAGGCTGGAAGATTCAGAGCAATTATTCCGCGTGTAAACAGTGTCGAAGACTGTGAAATTTTTTTGCCAAGTGGGCTGCTGACCTTCAACAATTAACACTTGATTAATTCGCGAGATCTGGCCGGGGATTAAACCGGGATTTTGCGACGAGATCATTTTTTCTTCGTCCGCGAGAAATACGAAAGGAAGAGTCGGGTAGGAAAGGGATCGTAGTAAATTGATAAATAGCTGGCAGGATAAATAAGACAGGCGTATGTAGCAAAGGAATTGCAAATGAACCTAACATCGAGAGGAGTTTACATTTTCTTTGAGAAGGACGCGAGTACACGTCATTTTTAAGTGAGACGTGTTATTTGCGTCAAAAATGCTCACATTTTTTCACTTGTCCCCTCGTTTAATATGGATGAACGTATATATATCTCTCTCTTTATCAATCCCGAAATCATCTCTGTCCTTTGCCTACCTCAGCTTCGTTCATTCTTATTTGCCAATTATAGTTGTCGCTTTGTCTACTACGTGAACGGTTTTTCTAATCGTACAATCTAACAGAGTCATTAATGCGCTCTTGGTACGGAAAGTCGTAATTAATTTACACGCCACGCTGTAGCAACTTTCCTCAACTATTAACTGATTAACCAAAGCATAATGAACGTCACATTGATGTATCGATAATTTCCGTGAAAACATCATTATACTTACATATATCCATCGTGATTCGCTGTTCCCGCATTCTTCGCATTCTCTCTCTCTCTCTCTCACGCACGCACACTCAGAAGCGAGCTTCCCACACTCTTCGCGTTCTCGTACGTTCTTTCAATGTTTCGAAGGACATACTTCCATCTCCAGTTTCTCTTTTTCCGTTCAGCGGTGCGCGAAAATGACACAAAAAGCACGGCGATTATTTTATATCGACGGGTTCTCCCTGTGCCAGTAATTAGCGCAGGGAAAAACATCATCGTTGCGTAGAATACGCATGCGTTCTTGTTTCTACATATTTACACAGAGCACACGTCATCGGCTAATTTAAACGAATAACCGGAAGCAGGAGCGAGTAACTCGAAGACGGAAGCGTCCAAGGTTTCGCGGATCTCTTCCAATAAACGTAGGAGTTTTGTTCTTTTCCTTGGCTCTCAGTCGCTATCGTCTCGCTACCATCTTACTCGTAGCCGGAGAAGAAGGACCTTGTGGCGATGATTGCGTTTCGTTGGACGTTCAATGACCTCTCACGGAGATGGCTACGCTGCTCAATGTCGCGTGGATGCTGGTGGAACTGAAACAAAGACGAGAAAACCTTCAGACGTCGGGTTAAACAGGGCGGATTCCAATTACACCTTCGAGCAATCGAAACCTTGAGCATCAAAGTCACAAAGTTCGAAAACTTGGGAAAATTATATACATTTCCGGTTGAATATCTTTCATTATCATTTTCAAGACACGACGTCCCCCCACCCTCTAAATTTCTCGTCGATCACGTTGATAACGCACGACAGTGTGCGTGTGTGCGCGCCTCGATCAGCATAAGAATGCTATTCATAGAACATTTGTATAAATGAAAAGCAAATTTTTATTATACGTTAAAAAGTGCACGACCTGTAAAATGACTAGTCGATAATTCGTTGTTTTCTTCGTTTCCAGAGAAAATTAGTGGCACACGATGGCGTCCAATGACGTACGCAGACGACTCTAAGGTAAGAAATGGACTGCAAGGTGGACCGCGTTCAACCTTGAAAACCTTTGACGGTCGTGCCCGTCCGATGGCCTCTCCTGCGTCCGAATAACACCCGAGAAACCGTACTTTACCTCGAGAACTTTTTCACGGCCGGTAGGTACATTCCCGAAAGAAAGTTCAGTTCTACTTTTGTCCTGCAGCGCGTCCAATGTTGCGGAGGCTGATTGCAAATGGCGAGCAGATCTGGTCGCATCTCCCTCCGTGCTTCTGTTTTTCTAGCTACGCCTAATTCATGTCTTCTTCTTCGGCTTGTTCTATTAAAACTTTTACTCCTGATCCTTATTTTAATTTCTTCCTTTTTCATATGCATATGTGCGGTTTCGTCTTCGCGAAGAATTAAATAGTACGGCGATGGAAGAGTTGCAACTGTTTTATCCTGTTTTAGAGGAGGTAAAGGTACATCGCGGTTGCTACCAGAGATTGTACCGTGCAAAATTAAAGAACGCGGTGATAAAAGAAGGAGTTTCGACGATTTGATCCTCTTTTCATCGAGATAAAGATACGATCGCGATAACAATAAGAGATTGCACGGTGCAACTGCAGCAGCTGGCGGGCGATATTATTCGTTCCATTGCTAGTCACGGTGCACAATCGGTGAAAATTAGTATTCGAGGAACGCACGAGCCACCCGCATCTACGGGACTCGCGATCGAGTGCCATTATTTCTTTATATAATTTACCGTCGTGTGCGACTCGATTTCTGAGACTGGGTGGTCGTTCGTCAACGTGGAACAAGCTCGAAGGATGATCGTTACTACATTGATAATCTATATCTCTTGAATACAGTTTCTTCCGAAAAAACAAATCCATTGTTCCATGTTTTGCGAACGAAAGTCAAGTCCTTTTTCCATGATCCATGTACGAAACAACCATCGGACGTTAGTTGGAAAAAGTTTCTTTTAAAAAGTTCCATTCCACGTTTTGCATAGAAAATCAAGTGGTTTTTCTGAAAATTCATTTCAATATCGGTCATAATTGTGGAATGGTAGTTTGCTTTTAAACTAGTTTATATTGCAGAGAAAATGTATACAAAGTGGCTGAAAAAGGATGTTAATTATTCATATTTTTGCAATTAGTGGAATACGTAAAGCGTAAGACGTACACCGCAGGATGGACTGAGACGAATGAAGATGATAATTTTATGTTAACGAAGGTGGTAGCTGATGGATTGGAGCGATCGAAGTTGAGGTGGAGGTGAGTGGAAGACAGGAGGGATCGAGGAAGGAGTGGGTGAAAATGACGACGGAATTGGAGTAAGGAGAGAAAAGATGGAGGAGAAGATGGAATGAAAATGAGATGAAACAGAAGGTAGGAGGGATAGAGAGATTTGTAAAAAGCATGGAAGAGATGAAGAAAAGGGTTGGAAGACTGGAGAATAAAGAAGTCTTCTCCGAATGAAAAATGCACACTTTTTCGTATAAATATTCTCTTATATTGTTTATTTCTCGTCGATTGCAGCGTTACGAGAAAATTCTTGGTAATTAAACTTGCTCCAAGTTTCGATCGAGTTTCAATCGTGAACAGTTGGCATAATATGAAATGTATACGATACTTCCATCGTTAGAAAGAACTATTCGGTCGTTGATTCCCCCTGTTCGAGCGGCGATCGTTCTTTCTCAACTTTACAGTCGGCCCTGTAAAATAGTAGAGACGTAACGATTAAATATCGATCGGAGTAGCCAAGACACTTAGTTTTACGAACAGTCGGGTCAATTGTTTACCCAAGAAATAAGGAAACGTTAGCTAAGATTATGCGAGTCGCGATTATTAGAGATTACAAACGCGCAACAGATTATTTGCGCGAACAATTCTTACTCTCATGATCGGTATTTTTTCACGTCGACCTTTCCAATTTGAACGAAACTACGGAATCGCTTAGACAAAGAGTTAACCGCGTTGTTTCAACTTTGCGGCACATATTTCTTCATCGTAATAAGAAAAACTGCTCGTGCAGCATTTATACTGTGTAAACTGTTCGCAGAAGCAGAGCTAATTTTTCAAATAGCTCGACAAGTCTGCAGCGGTTTGCGCTACTTTGTTTATCCGACAACTCCTCGTTGACAACGAAATTTATACGCTCAATTACATAATTATGATTTTTATACCGAACTTCATCACTCGTTCCGATCCGGACGCGTTAACGTTGATTAACGTTGATCGCAGCAACGCGAGGCAATGCAACGGATATACGTAAACGCCGATTGACGACAAAGTAAACGTCTAAATTCGAATGTTAATTTCAGCGGAAAAATCCAGAGACTTGTAAGGACATAGCCGGACAGAAGGTGAACTAACTCGTTCCTAACAGATCCTTTGGAATGTATCTAATAAGAGGCTGAAAATACCCAAGAGACTAGTTCTGAACGGTCTTGGAGATGCTTTTATCGATGCTTCTCTACTTTAACGAACGTAATCAAATTTTCAGGAGAAAAAAAATGTTATCCACGCGAGTGTATTTTTTGTGCCGCCGATTAAACGTTTGGGAAATACACCGCCGCTGGGGAAATACATACTAACTGAAACCTGTTCCCGAGGGTTGAACAAGGCAAACATCACGGTGGAGAAATGCGCGAGCGTGCAATAAAAAGTATTATAACACGATGACGATGCGCTTCCTAAAGCAGCCACTCTGAAAGCAAGGAAAGCCCGAATCTTTCAGCAGATGGAGATTCTTTTCTCGATGCTTGCTGGTTGACCTTGGCCGTGCCATTCCACAACGCGTTAATTGTTACACGGCTAGGGGATTATCACCGATGAAAGTAAAATTCTGCTGGTTGCGGAACATTGGCGCCATGTTGTCGCACAACGTCTAACTCATTTTGCGGCTTTTCGTCGACTTTTTTTCTTTCCACTTTGAAATTTGAACCTGTAACAGCGTCATCGTTGATACTTCGTTTCTGCTCTCGCTGTGCATACATAATAGACATCTCTCTCTCTCTCTATCTCTCCACTTCTACGTAATTTTATTCGGCAATCGAGAACCGTTATTCCTGAGTAATGTACAGTTTTGAGTATCTATTCCTCGACAATTGCTGTTTCATCGGGGTCTTTCGAAGACTGGCCTCTCAGCTTTCCTATTATCCCAAGATCATTTCACCTTCAACCTTTGGACAGACGATATATGGAATTTGACAACTCATTGTGTATCCACGCGCAATATATCAATTCGTTACCATTCAAGGACCATTCTCGTCCAATCGTAATTCAGCTTACGCCCGGTCGAAAAATCATGGTCACTTTGCTTCTAAACTGATTTACTGTAAAAACTCGTCATATGTTTAATGCCTCCAACGGTGTTGTTAGTATTATACACGTGTAATAAATCAATTTATCGTACGTAATGTCGTTTCGTTGAAAAACCGACAACTATAAAATGCATCGAGTGATTATAATGAATAGTTTCTTGTTGATCATATTTAACGCAAGCAGAAATGTTATACACATAAATTATATACCGATAATTACAACAACAACAACAGATATGTCACGAATAACCCATAGGCAAGACGATGTAAAAACAGATTCCAGATAAATGTTTCGTTCTCTGTGGTTGATCTGCTGAACGCATTTGATCTTGCATTCGATGACATCAAATCTTGGAAAAATACCATTCCCAAATAAACCCATAGGCAAGACGATGTAAAAACAGATTCCAGATAAATGTTTCGTTCTCTGTGGATGATCTGCTGAACGCATTTGATCTTGCATTCGATGACATCAAATCTTGGAAAAATACCATTCCCAGGATGGGATCGCGGAATATACGTCAATGCTCTTATTGTTAGCGTGTTGTTTCGATTGGAATAAAAGTTCCCATGAATTATGCATAATACGAGAGCAGAAGTAGATCTCGTTGGGTTCAACGTATCGTGGACAATTTTTTCTCGTATTTTTCCATTCACGAAACTTTAGAATTTGAATGACGTTTGCATTCGTCGATACCATCGTGTATACTGAAATTTTTTGTATCTGATTAACCATTTGCATAATCGTACTCTTTTTCTCCATAATGTAAAAGAGGTACTTATCGTCATTCACTACTAACCCAAATCTTTTTGTCCTTCGGAGCTCGTTTGTGACGTAATTTTATATCGTATCATCGATTCCGCCAACATTTTGTTCGCTTTTGGGGATCTCGTGAGATTCCGTTCCTTTGTATCATCGCGTCGTAATAATTTTCCTCGTTCCGTGAATCAAAACCTAAAAACGAAAAAAAGAAAAGCATATCAAGCGGCAGAAATTATCCTTCCCTTTATTAACATACGTATACGTTTATTGCTTTCTCGAGGAATATCAAATAATACACGTTTAAGAAATCGTCACAACGAATTAACTTAAGTTTCTTCGAGCAAATATTATTGAGCTGTTTTCGTAATGTATTATAATATTCATCGAGTATTGTGAAACATAACCTAATAGAGGTCATTCAGGGTAAAATTATCAATGTTTTATATGTGTATTTCGTTTTTCTAATATATGCAGCTTTGTCATTGTTTCACTCTTCTATGTCTACCTGATAATCATATTTAAATGATCGACCTTTTTTTCGATTACAATTGAACTTTTTCCAGCAAATCGATATAATGTAGGATTACGAAACGATCGTTGATATTCGGCGGTAATAAATAAATAAATAATAAATTACGCAAATTGTCAATATTCGGGATTAAATTGCATAAATAAAACGTCGTCTTGATCGGAATGCTACGAAGTAGAATTCATGGAAAATTTCGGCAATGCTTTGTCGTTATAAAAAATCACTGTTTCTTTCCTGTTGCTTTACAATTTCTTTATGATCGTAATCCCTCTGATTTCACACTTTACCGTCGTTTAAATATTCATCCCAACTTTTTTTCAACAATTCTGTGCTTTTTTAGAGGGTCCATGGTTAGGTATTCCCGTCCGTATTTACATAAATGATAATAGTAATTCATAAGGTGCAGTAAGATAAATCTTTCATCTTTAGTCTTTTCAGAATATTATATCATTATTCTTCTTTTTAAATCGATGCCGACATTTTTTTCCATTCCACGATAACACTAAAATCATCATTACGTATGTACATATGTATACCTGCACGAGTATTTTTTTCATTTCAGAAGCAAGGATACGTTACGATCGAATTGTGCAATCAGTGTTTTGATACAATGGATTGGTTTGTTACACAGTAATTTACTCCGATAACGATGGTAAAAAATCCTGCAGCTAGTTAGTCGTGTTATTCGTTTAAACGAGCATCGATGCGTTCATTCAAGAAATCCCGGACAAGTTTCTCGAAATGCCGTGACGTATCTGCGAATCTTGACTCTCTGATCTCATCGATTACTGCATCTCATTTGCTGCACGACGTTTGTTTTGGTCCAAACAGCGGGAATCGCGAAACTGCGCATGATTATGACGTATTAATTTAATTCTGCGTTTCCAAACTTTCGGGATTTTTTGATGCACCATCGCGACACGAGGAAACTGAAAGAAATTTCAACTGTAAGTATTTCACATATAGGTTATATTTATATTTCTTCATCGATTTCTCGGTAGCATCCACGTGACTGGCCACGTTACAATACATTTTAAACGAAGCTCAGAACGAAGATTTCGCAGTCGTTCTAAGAAAACATCGACGTATAATTTTCTCGATGTTTTCGACGAAGTTTTTGGTCGTTCGTTGCTCTGTCGAAGGCATTAGATTAGAGAGCGTAGTTCCTTCGATTCTGCAACAGGACGCAGAGGGCAGTAATGGTTTCACCTATTTCACTTCCGCATTGGAAAACATACCAATTACGCAGTATTTCGACACATTCTCACGCGTGTCAGCCTCGTACGAATGTTCTCGAAACGAACTGTCGATTAGCCAAGGTTAGAAACATGAAATTCAAACATCGCCAGTTTCTCCTTAATTATTTCGGCGGTCATTCGTGGAGAGTTGAAGAAATAAGATTGTTAAAGCGGTTATTGTGAAACATCAAGATTAATGCGCATATTTCGAATCATTTATGGAATTGTTGCTACAGATTTTATTATAAACTGTAAATTTTCCGTTTATTTTCACCGGTTGGCAAATAAGATTCAGTTTATTATATCTCGTAATATTATGCGTTCCCTTTTATTACATATTTGCCCAAGTCTCGTTTTTTCGTCCAATATTTCACAGTCTCGATGTCGTTTCCCCTTCTTTCGGTTAATAAAACGTTTAAAAAGAACATTTTCGGATATACTTTAGGTCTATTTATAATTTACAAATGATTTATACGATTCCTTGAATATTTGTAGTGTAAAATGTAATGTGTATACAAAAATCCAAGTTTGAATAATTCAAATTTTCTTGGTTCATTGTTGATTGCACTGAATTACGTGCGCGAAGGAACCATTCTTACCAACCATAATAGTACAACTTCACAGAGAATTTTGTCAAACTAACTGTTGATTATTCGTGAATTACGCATGTTAGTTTAACTTGCATAATAATTCTTTTTAACAGTATTATCAGAAATGGTTAAATTAACACCAGATTTAATTCAACAATCGATGCAGTATATTAATCCTGTAATGGATCGGGAATTAGATCTGAGAGGTTTGTGGATGAAGTACATTCAAGCAACATAACCTGAAAACTGTCGTCGATTCTTTAATTTCTATATATTATTTTAATCTTCTCTGTTACAGGGTACAAGATACCTACGATAGAAAATTTGGGCGCTACTTTGGTTAGTATTGTAATAGATAAGTTTTTATTTCTTAATACTTTTGCGATTTATCGGTGCGTTTTCTGATATAACACAACTTGTTTACATTTGCAGTAGCTATCGTTTGCTTTATTTTCAAGTTAAAATATTGAAATACAAAGAAAATATTTTTTTCAGGACCAGTTTGACACCATTGATTTTTCTGACAATGATATAAGAAAATTAGATGGTTTTCCTTTGTTAAAACGAATCAAAACCCTCTTCTTTAATAATAATCGTATTGTCAGAATTGGCGAGGGATTAGAACATTGTATACCAAACTTGGAAACTCTTATGCTAACTGGAAATATGATTCAAGAGCTTAGTGACTTGGAACCACTGACACAATTGAAAAATTTAACAAACCTTTGTTTACTCCAAAATCCAGTTTCTGCAAAGCCTCAGTATAGACAATATGTTGTATATAGATTTCCACAGTTGAGGCTTCTAGATTTTAGGAAAATTAAGATGAAGGAACGTGATGCTGCAATTGCTTATGTTAGAAGTAAAAGGGGAAAAGAAATGGTTCATGAGATAGCTAAGAAAGTAAAAACACAAAGTTCTGGCTTATCTCCAGATAAACCACTAACAACTCCAGAGGAACGTAACAAAATTAGAGAAGCCATTACAAATGCTTCTTCTCTGGAAGAAGTACAGCGTCTTAGCAAATTGTTGCAAGCAGGACATATGCCCAGTGAAGAAAGATTACAAAACGGTATGTAGTTGAAAAAAAAGTATATATTGTCTTTAACCTTATTGACTATAAAAATACATTATTGTTATTCTTTTAGGAAACACAATACCTGAAGCTATGGAAGAAGAGGATGATTAAATTTTTCATACATCATTGTCAGACTTTACTTAAACAAGAAAAATCTTTTTTATTGCTGTAAGTATGTGATTATATACAATAGATGGAATTAAAAACAGTTTGTTAAGCTAATAAGAAAGGATGTGCTACACAAATATATTATTAATTGGAGATGATTCATTTGTAAAAATAAAATTATTGAAATACCTAATTGGCCTGAAGCGATTTTGCGAACATATGATAACATCCGTCACTTCTTGAACTATTTTTAATGCATATGTATGTTTATTTCAGTGAGATTTCAATAAACTACTTGTACAGTATTTCTTATATGTAAATTTTCTACCCATATAAAACAATATTTTCAGTACATAATTCAAAATGTTATTCATGTACAGTATATTCTCCACAAGTGTCAGACCGCAAGGAAGCTAAATCTGACACTCGTAGAGTCAGGGACTACGTTTTCGAGCCTCGCGCCCGCCTTTGTAGTTTGCCGAACGTAGACAAGGACAGCGAATAAACGATAAGCATGAAACGTTAGTCGAGGCAACCAAGCGATTTAAATATCAACTGTTTTAATTCTACGTTTTTTTATCCCGAAATTTTTCTTAACATATTGATGAGATTTTTCTGATGAAAATGACAT